AGAAAATTCTACCGTTCTTTGAGTTAATTGAAGCCTAAGGTTTTCTTTTTGTGTCTACCCTTATCCCTATAACTAGAGGCTCTACACGGTTGCCTACTCTTAGGCATGCCCTCCAGGCCTAAATATTCTATATCTGTCACGTCACCAGTGTTTTCTAAAAGGGTAGGTGAAATATTGTGTGAGTCATCGATCAATAGGTGTGTACGTTCAATTTCTGTATTTTGTGCTAAGAAAGATATCAGAGTTCTATCGAGCTTTCCTACTTCTAATGTTTTACCATGGATTTCGCTTTTTCAGCTTTTGCTTCATTGTAACTTCCTCTTTTGCATTCTGCTCCAGTAATACATTACTATTGAAGTGAATTTATGACAATTCGTTTCAGTATGGCATGATAAGTGTGGTTCCAAATTGCTCAACTATCTTCGAAATTCAGTCTGAAGGTGGAAAAGTGGGAACGGCAGTGAAGTCGTTGGAAACAACATTCATTAATCGATACATTAAGAGTAATGCTGGCTCAACGAAAAAGTATGTTGTTATTAGATGCTTTTGTTGAGGAGTCTTTCCATGGTGTAGATTGTTTTTAATGGTTCATTTGTTTCCTTCCCATTTGCGGATTTTAGGTCAACTTAACTCCATGCCATTATGATAAGGTATATCATTTGATCCACCGAAGCTTTGAATATTCCAGGTATTATGGAGTGTGTTGATCGATTTCTGAATGTCTTGTGTTGCTACTCGGTGGGAAGTTCATATGGGAATCATGTGAGTAATTCTATATATCTGAAATACGATCAATACTCTAGAGGCTTGTGGCGATGGGCTTTGAATTTCCAAGAAATGATTGGTTATCTCGTTAGTATTTATGTAGGTCTTGTGGGCATGGAGAGTTAATTTTTTGTTTAATTTTTTGTAGTTACCTGGAGGCGTATTTTGACTCTATTGGGTCCTTTTTGACGTTCTGCAATTAGACGAAATCTTTCTACGCTAACTTTGAATTGATTTCAAAATTCGATGTTTCAAAATTCTGGCTTTCATAATCAAGATTGTTTCAATGCTGTTTTTCGATTTTTGGAGATGTTGAAAATGATGTTTTTTGAACTGTTGGGCCTTTCCTCTCATGGTATTAAAGAGCGATTTTCTTTTCCAGTATTGAAATTGAATCAGTTTTTTTAGTTGATTGGGTGTTGTGCCTTGTATTTGCTTTTTTTGCTCTGGACGTTTGACCCGTTATAATCCGTTGCTTCGCATGTCGATTGCATCTGGATTACGAAGACTGACCTACATTTTCTCTGTGTACCTGTCATCGGGTTTTACCCCTGTCATTTTCCAGGACCGGCACAATGACAACATTATGATGACTCGCGATGGCAAGATATTCCATATTGATTTCGGCCACATTTTGGGCCACGGAAAAACGAAACTTGGAATTCGACGTGATCGTGTGCCGTTTGTGCTCACAGAGCATTTTCTTTGTGTGATTGGACAAGGTAGACCTGGTATCGAAGGATAGCCATGAAGTTACAAAGTGGGTGTTTATTCATATCTATTTTGGAAAACGTTTTTCTTTACCTCTGGACTTCTTAAAATTTTGTTATCTTAGTGCTTTCCATGGATGTGTGATTGCTCACACTAGCCCTGCGAATGAGGTAGATATAATTAATGGGGTAAAAAGTGGGCTCATCCAGTTAGGAGGTGGGAGTGGGGCTATGTGGTGCGATCCGCAGACTCCAGATTCCAACTTCGCAGAGGAAGAACTAGACGTTAACCATATCGCTTCTACTTTTACACACACTCGGAGCTTTCTTTCATTGTGGGAAATGGATTACTTGGGACGATGTGAACTGTACCCCATGCCTCGCACACTGGTGAGATCCAGGGAACGTCGTATCAAGTTTACTAATTTGCAGAAGTATGATTCGCCAGGAATTCCAGTCGTTTTTCCATGTTTTGACCAGCACAGCATATGCGTGACCGTAAGATTCCCTACTGTTGCATTTTTGACAGCGCTTGGTCACTCTTAGTCTTGCTTCCCTTGAGAGGAAGAAGGAACGACGCTGATGTGTAACTTCTCGAGTCACGAGATTCATCAAAGGCAGTGGATACGTTGACTTAACACGCTTCTCACTGGTGACTTGTTCAGTCTACCTACACACGTGAAAGTAGAGGTGTTATTTGAATTCACTCCAACAAAACATTCCCTTGGCTCGAAAATGCGTGACAAGGGTGCTAGGGCCTTGCTAATTGGTTATAAATGGGCAGGTACCTGCATTAAAAAGTCTAGGTAGCTGCATATTTCTCTCTTTGACGCCCGCTGTCTCTTTCTCTCAGCAATGTTCACTTTACAAAAAGGAGGTCTATCCCAGTGCTTTCGAGGGTCTCTTCCGCTTTTTTCTTCACTGGCATTGCCCTTCGCAAATATACTTTTCTATTCTATCGGTTCTTGAACGAAATGCTCTTGAAAATCTTCACAACAGTAGGCAGATTGTGGAGGATTTATTGAAATTGGTAGACTCATGTTTCATGTTTTAGATTCAAGAAGCTCTTGCTGCGACGCATACATGAGGTTATGGGAAGAGCGCGACCTTTTTCTTTCTTTATTCACTGTAATGCAATCAATGGAACTGCCGGAGCTGTCAACTGAAGCTGACTTGGATCACCTTAAGGTTTGATCGTTTTAGTCATTTTTGGATTGCACTTTAGGTAGTGTCTCTCTTCACCAAAAGCCGAACTTGACCTTTCTCAGCACCCCAGCATTATAGTACTTTTATTTGGTCAGTTATACTTCATGGAAAACTCTTTTAGAGCACACTACGAGTAGCATACCATGATGGTATGATGACAGAAGCGAGAGCGTTCTTCTCGGAGATTTTCGACGAAGCCTTCAACGGCTCGTGGGCGACGAAAACTAATTGGTTTTTCCATGCCGTCAAGCACATTTGAACAATTTCAAGGACACTTTGTTGCTAATGCCGTTTGTAATATTGCAAGGAACGCGGGCTCAACCGTTCCAAGTACTGTGTTAAAATTTTATTTGAGAAGCGCTTTGTCAGCTGGTTGAGGCTGAATCGAAGATCCTTTTTTCTAAAATTTATAATCGGATTGCGTGCGTAGAGCGCTCACTCTTATTTCGCATCAGTGTGTTCTTGTAGCGTAATTTGGTCGCTTCCAGTTGGCGCCTGTCCTCACTACTATTTAAAAGCACCATACTTATCATTGCACTTGCTCCACATCAGTTGATTTTGGGCTGATTACTTGAGTATTGTTGTGGTTACTGGTCACTTGCTCAAAATTGGCTGTGATTTAACGTCGTTATATTTTCTTGTCCTGTTGTCATGTTGATGTCTGGCGCACGCTTTTTGAGCACGGAACTGCTTATCGTGAATAGTTCAGCGAAACATCTGCTGCTACTGCTTGTTTCTTTCTTTTTTTGTAAAAAGTTGGCTCGTTTCTGATAACCTCTTATATACGCTTTCAAATCACATTCGCCCGCTGGTATGTTTCTCACGGTGTTCAAAGTTACTGTTTTTGATATCATCTTGATTTTGTTCTTTTCAGATTCTTTAAATTTTGTATTTTTGGCAAAGTTAATGTTGAATATCCTGGTGAGATTGCTTATTGTCTACTGACTCATTTTATCTACTTCTGTATATTCCATGACAATAGTTATGGCCGTTTTCATGTTGTCCAAGGTCTCATACCCTGTGCAGCCGTACGGTTTTTGGCCCCGCCCCCTTGTGGCCAATTCTCGTTATTTTACATTTCGCTGCAGAGTGAGAGTTGATGGAAGCAGTGAAAACGACTTCCAAGCAACAGACGCAGTACAATTATCGGAACTGCTTATGTTTACGGGTATTTCCGAGAATTTTTTGATAGCCAGGGTTCACACCTAGTCGCCGACCTTCGACATATTGATTAGAACATTGGCCCTCGATCGATATCCGAGAAAGAAAACGCGTTCGCATACGCGCGCGCAGTTGTTGGCTAGGCGTGAACCTTGGTTTGCTTGAGTTGTTTGTTTATATCTTTATCTGCCTGATGTTTACGCCTCGATTATTATTTTATAAATGATGCTTAATGTTGTTCAGTTTTTGTTCAAAGGTTGATGAAAAG